CTTGGGATGGGATTGTAACGAATTTCCACAAATGCTATGCGGAAGAGACCAGTCTATCTGATCACGTCGAGGCATACATCCGGTTGATAGTTCTCAAGAAAACGCTTGAAAGCATCTCCTTTGACAATCGATATAGATTCCATGTGGACGAAGCGAAATCGATGAGTACAACAAATCTGAGCGCGAGACAAATACAGCCAGAGTGCCGAAATGCAATTCAGCGCCAAAATCAAGAAAGCGAAAATTAAAACTATACATATATCTTTTTTCTATATATATAGAAAAAAAAAAAGAGAAAAATCTACAATTTTTTACTGTAAATCCACTGAATTTTGTGTAATTTGCGATTCTTATTTTATAATGTTCAGTTGCCTATAGAGCTTATTTTCTGCAATCAGGGAAGTCGGTTGACATTTCCAGTTAAATATGCATGTAACGGAAGTGGCATTGCTACTAGCTGAGGTAAAACCTCTGGCGGCTCTTTGGCAGGAGGTTTGCAAAACCACAACTTTGGCACTTGAAGGCATATAATACCTGTAGTATCAATGTTACCTGGAAAATTTTTTTCAATTTAATAATGATAATTCATAGTGTTAATTTTCTACTAATCACAATAAAATTAAGATATTTGTTCGCATTGAATTCAAAAGATGAAAAGTCCTACCTTGACAACTATCAACGGTAAGCAACACTACGAATAACATTGTAATCCTTGGTGTTTGCATGAGAGAGCTAAAATAATTTCTGAATTCATCATAGAAAATTTATTTGATTCGAAATTTTAAGTGCAACATTTTGTTATTAGCTCTTGCTCAACAAATTAAAATTTCCTATATTTTTTATTTGTCAGGATAGGAGAGGTTGGAGTAGATTTATAATCCAGAGTAAATCGGATTCAGTGATCACAGAATTCAGTTGGACTTTGTTAGAGGCCTTTATTTTTAACTATTAGTTGCCATATTATTAAATACAAAAATATGTAACGATGATGTGAGGAACTAGTTTTTACGGAAACAATTTTACGCTTGCTTGCAAAACTCGACAGTTTCCGTTGATTTTTTGGTATAAAAATTACAAACATTCGTTGATAACATGGTCATAATTGCTTATAGTTAGAGGTGATCAAGAAATTAGAACTATGTTACTAATCTGTTATCGTAATATATTCTCAAATATCGACTGGCACTTGTACAAAGATTTTTGCATCATTGTTAGACAGAGATAACTGGTGGAAAACCAGTATTTGATAATCGGTACATAAAGATATAATCAGATTTGTTCCAATCTGATGAACAATTATGTCGCGGTATTCCGTCGATATAATCAGTCATTGTTAACTGAAGAATTATGAAGTTAGTTTCATGCCAGTGCAGCAGGTTGTATTAAAGCAAAAGTTTTAGCTGACAAAATTGCTTTACAGCATATTAGCATAGGCTATTAAAGATAGCAACTGCATGCGTAATTAAACTTTACAATTTCATATTTAATTTGTTTAGAATATGCAAGTTTGACATGAGATTGTAAAGTATAATTGGAAATTGCCCGAAAAATATATGAAGTATACGGTGATTTGAGACGAAAGGGAAAAATTAAGAACGAGACAAAAAACGTTGACCTTCCTATTTGGTTTCATTATTGTGTTTATTGTGGTAACGTCAGAACTTAAGAACCAGACATGGATGATGCATTTAATTTATTAACGGAAAGCTCGAAACGATTACTGAAATGGAATAAAAGCAATCTGCCAAGGAATTTTGCCCAGCAGCTTTAAATTTCAGGAAAAATTCGAATTATTTTTTCCAGGATTTGTAATTTTCGAACTCTGGAACAACAAAAGAGCTATAAAAAGTAATATTTGAATAATAAATCTAGTTCATCTAAACAAATATATTTATGGTGTTTTACTTTTAAATTTAGCTTAAACTATTTTTGATATCAAGTATTATCGTCTCCCTTATGTTCTAAGTTATACATTCAACTTCAACCAGTTAAAAATTCAGAATCTCAGCTTCACTTATTTTATTGCGATTACAATTTATACGTGCTGCTGAAATTATCATGAATGAACTGGCAGTGCTGACAGAGTCACGTATTTCATAGTTAAATAATGCTGAACTTGTTCTCGTAATCAACGGTACTAATTAGTATAACAGAAAACACAATTGTGAAAGTACA